TGTACCACGAGCCATATGAAGACTCTTACTCTCTCTGGTGCTATGACATGCCAAACTCTATCATAAAAACTCTGCATGTTGGGGTGTGCTTCTGCTTGTCGAGTGAGAAGAGCATAAGCACTTTTGACCGTAAAAACTCCATCGTGGCACTCTCCCCACCCAATTCTGTCTTTTGCTCCTGTAATAATATCCACCACCACTGATATTAAATGCAGCTTCACATGGGATGTGATATAAGGGGCTATCCTTCCAAAAGAGGATTTGTCTACCATTCCCGAGGACCCATCTCAAACCCGGTTGCACCACTTCTCTCAGACTTGTCATTACACTTCGCCAAAGAGGAGACCAGTTACTCTTCACTCAGTCCATGTTTTGTCTCTTATTTCCGTCACTTTGTACTTTCTTCGTACCACCCTAGCCCAAAGGCTTTCATTATCATGTAAGACCCGGCAACTTAGCTTCAAAAGTAGAGCTTTATTCATGTCTTGGGCTTGCCTGATTCCCAGCCCCCCTTCTCTCTTTGGTCTACACACCCTCTTCCAAGCAACGAGGTGCTGTCTGCGTTGCTCCGTTGTTTCTCCCCAGAGAAATGATCTGGATACTCTGTCTAACTTCTTCAGGGTTCTTTTTGTTAAAGCGATTATACTCATCGTATGAACCGGTATAGATGATAGGACAGCTTTCGTAAGTGTAACTCGACCCGCAAAGCTTAATAGTCTCCCCTTCCAGCCTGCCAATCTCGCAGATACTCTCTCTAATACCTCCCCAAAAGTATCCTTATTGATACGCTTCTGTAGTATTGGCATGCCCAAGTACTTGCTGAGATCTCTAGTCACCTGGATACCACTCTCCGCACTAATCATATCTCTCAATTCTCGGGTAACATTCTCTGAAAAGAATATCTTCGACTTCTCAAGACTCCCCTTCTGTCCTGAGGCAATACAGAATCGCTCTAGAACCCTCCTTATCACTTGAACTTGAGCCACTGATACCTCTACAAAGAGTACGAGATCATCCGCAAAACAGATATGGGATAATTTCGGTCCTCCCCTCGATATACTTATCGGTTTCCACTCCTTAGCAGCTATTGAGCGTTCAATCAAATGGCACAGTCGCTCAATACACAACATGAATAAATAGGGTGACAACGGGTCTCCTTGCCGTAGGCCTCGTGCTAGTTTAAATTGTGCAGTCCTTTCTCCATTCCACATTATACTCATTGATGTACCTGTGACACTTTGCATAATCCATCCCACCAATTCTTCTGGGAGCTTAACTGCACTGAGTGTATCTTCCAGAAAGTCCCCATCTGATGCGATCATAGGCTTTCTCGATGTCTAACTTGAGCAACATCCACCCTTTCCGACCCTTCTTAAGCCTCATCGAATGCACCACCTCCTGAACAACAACAATGTTATATGTGCTTAATCTCCCTGGTATAAAGCTCGCTTAAGTCATACCTATTAGTTTTGGCATCACTCATTTCAGCCTCATTACCATTGTCTTAGTAATTGTTTTAAATAAAATATTACACAAACTAATAGGTCGGAATTGCATAATCTTCTTCTGCTTGAGCACTTTTGCAATAAGCACTACTAGTGCATCATTTGTTCCAACTGAGAGCTGTCCTGTGGAGAAAAAATCCAGAGCAAATCGTATGACAAAGTCTCCTACCACATCCTAACAAGTCTGATAGAAAACTGGTTGAAAACCATCTGGACCCGGGGCTTTATATTTTCCCATGCTTTTGATCAAATTCTCTACCTCATAAGTCGAGAAAGGCTTACGTAAGTCAGTTAACTCCTCCCTAGTCAACGTTGCAAACCCCTCTGCTGGCAGAGCCATTACCATCTGATCAACATCCTCCATCGAGTATAATCTGCTATAGTAATCAACTGCTAACTTCTCCAAATCTTGTTGCTCCGAGACCTAATTCCCATCTTGGTCTTTTAACATCTCTATCCTGTTGAGACGCCTCCTTACTATGGTAGTTAGAGGTAGTATTTTGTGTTCCTATCCCTGAGAGCTATCCATTTCTCCCTAGACTTTTGGAACCACAACACCTCCTCCTGTTCCAACACTATGTCTAGTTCTTTACACAAAACCACCTCCTTGTTCAGCAGCTCATTTGTGTGGCTATGCTTCAACTGGTCTTGGGTCTCCTTAATCTCCTTCATCAACATCTCCTTCTTTCTCTGAACTCCTCTGAAGATTTCTCTGTTCCACTTCTGAAGTTTTTCCTGTAGGAGTCTCAGCGCCTCAGGTGTATTCAGCTCCCCATTCCATGATGTCAACATAAGTTCTTTAAAGCTCTCATGCTTCAACCACGCGGCTTCAAATCTGAATGGCCTCCTTAATGGGTTACTCCTCTGTTTATGAGACAACTGGACATACAGTGTCGCATGGTCTGATGCCAAAAATGGTAAATGGGTAACCGTTGCATCCTGCCACTTCAACCGTGCATGCGCGCAATACAGCACCCTATACAGTATTTGCTACAAAATTGTTCTCCTCCCTCCCCCTCTTCCACGTAAATTTGTTCTCCTTGAAACCCATATCAATCAACGACATATCATTAATCCACTCACCAAAGGCTAGAAATCCGGCAACAACCTCATGTTACCTCCAGTCCTTTCGTCTAAGTATATGATGGTATTGAAATCACCCCCAACGAGCAGCGGTCCGTCTACATTCTGTATCATCTGGCTTAACTGACCCCACAATCAACTTCTTTGACTCACCGTGGGGGCCGCATAGACAACTATTAAGTGTATACTCTCCCCTGTGTTTGCCACCTTAGCATAGATAAACTGCTCCACCTCTTGTACTACCGTAATCTCACCAACATCTGACCGCCAAAATCGCCACAAGCCCCCACTTTGGCCCACATAGTCAACTCTCACGGACTTCTCGAAGCCTAGCCCTTCACAGATCCTCCTTGCCCTATCTCCCCCCGCGTGAGTCTCGAACAAGGCCAAGATATCTGTCTTAAGTTTCTTCAAGGTGTAACGTATAGCTCTCCCGAAGTTGGGTTTATTCGCCCCCACCCTTGGCAATTCCATAACAGCATATTTATCAAAAATTGGTAGACTTTCCTCCACTGGATCGTCGGGGACTCCCGTTATGCGACGATCAATCTCATCTCCTCTCCCAATTGATATGTAGGCAACCCCAACTCCTCTTGTATACCACCATCAGTCGGAATCGATTGGAGTGCCTCCATCGCATTAACTTGCTCTGGTATAATCCTCTCCTTCTGCACCTCAGACCCATCGATAAAGACCCCTCCAAATCTTCCAGAAAATTCCCTCTCCCCTCGAAGTCTTTTGTCGGACTCTGAAAGCTCTATCTCTCCTCTAGTTGGGCTAACTTGCTCTGGTATAATTCTCTCCTTCTGCACCTCAGACCCATCGATAAAGACCCCTCCAAATCTTCCAGAAAATTCCCTCTCCCCTCGAAGTCTTTTGTCGGACTCTAAAAGCTCTATCTCTCCTCTAGTTGGGCCAAAAACCAAACCTCTCATTGGCTTATTCATATTTTTCTGAAGATTTCCTTTCGAAAAATCCACAGGCTTCTTCCCGGCCCGTTTGGCATTTACACCCCCTCCAGGCCCATTTTTTAACTCCAAATATAACATTTTCCTTATTTGCCTCCCCCAATATCGCAACTTGCCTTGATTCAGATACTCCAGTATCAACATTCAGATTTGCAAATCTGTTCGACGTAACAATATTTTCTCGGGCCTGATTCTCCGAGATCGCACAGAAATTCCTTCCTAAACCATTCCTGGTTGGTTCCGCTACCAATGCCACCGGAGTTGTATTCTCCATTGTTACCGCCACCGGACTCCTCCTACTCTGTTGTCTCACCGGCGTGAATCCATCCTCCGATGGTGTAGGGCTCTTCCCCTCATCACTTTCCCTATGATTCACTACTACCACTGTTCTCTCCATCACCGTCTTTGGGCACATATGAACCAAGTGGCCGTACATTCCACAACTTGAGAAAATGCTGGACAAACCTTCATATGCCACAAAGTATCTGTCTCCATTGATGCTAATTATACCCTTCAAAGGCCTTGCTAGATTTACCTCCACACAGACTCTAGCTAACCTTCCTCTCTCGAAGTTAAGCGTTGTGAGATCCACCCTTATTGGCTTTCCTAACCCGCGAGCAATACCCATAATTATAGCTTTATGGTATAGATTCACCAGAATATTCATGAGCCTCACCAAAACTGGCGTGGTAGTGATATCATCACATAACGGGTCAAAACCCGATGACCATGCTTGCACCATTAAGTAGCTATCAAAGACAATCCATGGTCCCCCGGTCAAGGTTGTAAGGTATTCATCCTCCCGCTCAAAACTAACAATGAAGAACTGTCTCGACAGATCTATCACTTGCATCAAACCTTTCGGTTGCCACAACTCTCTTAATTTCCGATTCAAGGCAGGAATAGCAATATCTACCCAACACCTTCCCGATCATACACTGTTTCCACATCCCATTTATCGCTTCGATACCTCCCTCCCAATAGTGATTTTTGGTTTACCATCCTCCCCTGAAGGAATGTTACCATTAGTCTTTCTGCTACAAAAGCATCATCCAATAGATCTTCAGGGATTGGCATATCCCCAGCGTTAGATCCCACTACCTTCTTCGCAAATGACAGGAGCATCTGGTGGATCACCCGGCGGTCTTCTCTTCTCCCCACGTCCATCATCACCGCATCTTGTTCACCAGATTTCAAAATCCTACAGTTTTCTTCGTTTGCCATCAGCTATAATTGTATTTTTATAACTTTTTTGCAATCATTCTTTTAAATTAATGAATCTTTTCAATAACAAAAAAATAAATTAATATTTTTATATACCTGCCCAATATGCATTTATAGAAACAGTTAAAAAAAAGGGAAAACTGGTTATGGATTTATGTATGGGCCGAATAATTTGATGGATTTATTGTGGGCCTAAAAGTCCATTATTATGCGAAGAATATTTAGAAATCGAGAATAGTGGAAAACGTAGAGCAGGCAAATGGCGGCAGCGATATCAGCGAATTTGGTGTTTGTTGCTGCAAGACATGGACGAAGACAATGGAGAACCACTCCTTTCTCCTGTAGTTTGTCGTCTTCGAGACCGAACACAAGGAATCTTGTTCTATACTCTAAACCAGGATGTTGTCTCTGCGACGGTCTTAAAGAGAAGCTTCAAGCCGCATTCTCTCTCTCTGGTCCCGATTCACTCAACGACATTACTCTTCAGGTCTCACACAAAACCTAATCCCTAATTTCACAATCTCACTACCAAATTTGATTTAAAGTTCTTAAGAAAATTTCCAATTTTTCAGGACGATTAGCTATAGTAAGATCAATGCCCAGGATTATTTCGATTCTGGTTGGATTTAATGGATGACCAAGAACGGAATTAATAAATTGGAGTTACTTTGTAAAACATTTCATGGATTGTTTTGATCTAGTTGTGTCTAGGTCTGATTAATGTCACTACAAAACATATTATTTCACAATTTTTCAGAAAATTTTCAATTCTTCTGGACGATTATCGCTATAGTAATAACTATGCTTAGGATCATTTCGATTCTGGTTGGATTTACTGGATGTAGAACAACAGAAATAATAAATTGGAGTTACTTTGTAAGAATTTTATGGATTAATGTGATTTAGTTGTCACTAGGTCTGATTAATGTCCAGCTCTTCGGGATGATTATAGCTATACTATAGCCTATAATTATTTGGGAATGAATAAAAGTCTCTGGTTGAATTTAGTGGATGCACAAGAAGAGGGACTTATTAGTTTGTTCTTCTTTTTTTTTTCTGATAACCCAGTAGATCATGGGACTGATGTGATTTCGTTGGAGATTTTTAGGTGAGGGATATCACGACGAATCCTGAGTGGGAAAGGGCTTATCAGTATGAGATACCAGTCCTAGCTAAAGAGAATTCTGATGGTAAAGAGGTATGTGAAGTTCTACATTTCAAGCCTTCTTTGTTAGCTGTAGACTTTTGCAAGATTGTTTTATGGTCATCATAATTTCCTTTTGGTAGGAAATTTTGCCGAGGATGTCTCCACGTTTAAGTGTGGAAATCATACAGAGGAAGCTACTTGCTGCTTTTAGTTGATTCATTACGTACACGACATTGGAAAAAGAAAAAGAAAACGTGTGTTTGTACTCTCTTATACTCTCATCTGCAAGAAAGATTGCTTCATACTGCTTTTCTGTTTTATTTGTTGCTCTAATCACTGGAAGTGTTATTGCTTTTATGATGGCTGATGCTGATTCTTACCATATATCTATGCAAATGGTGCATTATGTGTTCTTTGACTAATCCATTAATTTGAATGACTCCAAAGAGTGATATGCTAGAATTGTCGCCATAATTTCCTTTTGCCTTTCTCTGTATTGTTATTGTTTTTGCTTTTGATATTGATTGTTGCCAAAACTATGACGGCTTTATAACCATTTATATCAATTTGTTTCTTTCTTCTGCTGTCTAAAAGCAAAAGGTGTATGAAGTTTCCTTTAGGTTATGAAAGTTATTGTTCTAGCAAATTATTGTTTAGATGCTTTCATTAGTAGAAGTGTGACCTTATTAGAATTTGAACTATCTCTGTTACTTTCACGGAACTGCCAGTTCTTCAATTATCGATATTGTATCGTATATCTTTCCGCATTATATCTACTTTTAGTAAAGATTGCAATTTGTCATGGAATGCTATTTTTTTTTTTCCATAACTTTCATGAACCATGACGTTTTTTTCAATGTCATTCCTGATATAGGTGGGAACATCTTGGAACTAAGAATTCTATTTCCCTGTGTCAAAAACTTAAAAGCATGTTTGCTCATGTAAGCATTCGTTATCTTGTATTTAACTATTTGCTAGTTGTTCAATCGTTTTTGTCGACCAATCGGATTTTATGATCAAATACTTTTACGATCGTCTTAACAAACACATTACTATATTAGACAAAGCAAGCAGGAGCCTTTAAGGTTAGAGACTGGTTAAACTTCTTTCATTTTGGATCTTCTTGAGATCAAAAAGGTATAAAACCGAAAAGAAAAAAAAGGCTATCTTTTAAAATGGCCCTGCAACATATTTTCTTCTCTTGTCACAATCTTTGTAAATGTATCTACCTGATAAGTCTTTTACATATTATAAATTCTTTTATCAATCAGTGGTTGAATCTTTTGGCTGTATTATTGAGTTGAGAGCCATAGGATTATGGTTTAGTGGAAAGAATCAGTCTTGATCAAAATTCTCATCACGTCCTTAGTGCAAAATCTAATATTCGCTTTAAAACAAAACGTCTTTTTGCTTAGTTGAACGAAAAGTTTGATGATAGGTGTCCTATCTTGAATGATTCATTATTTTTTTCTTATCATTCTTTCTTTAAAGTGTGGTTTATAATCTTTATAGGGTGGGTGATAAAAGCAATTAGCTATAGCTTTTGGTCATATCATCGTGTACCTTACTTGGCCGAAATGATATACATTTTGTGCAGAATTTGATTGCATGCGCCACTAATTATTATGCGATACGTTTCTATTTTTGGTCATTGGCAATGGACATATGAGCCTCTTGATGTGCTAAGCTGTCCATTTCGGGAATTGAGAAGAAAAAAACACCGCATAAATTTTTTTTGTTAGGATCGAGTCGAAATTTTTTTGGTAACTAAAATCACTATCTAAACTTTCAATAATTTGAGTAAAGACAAAATTTGGAACATACTGTATATTTTTATAGATAATTCAAGTAAATGTTGAAAAATGTGGATAGTTTTTTGGATGTTATGTTTATTAGAAAGAAAAACAAAATAATTGATACCCCATCCAGATATATTGTGGACGTGGATGCCTAATACGTATTAGTTATGAACTCTGAAGACTATTTGTTGCCTGTTTTACATTACATTCCATTGTGAAGTAAGCAAGGCTTTTTTTTTTTTTTTTTGAACATGTGTAAGCAAGGCTTTGTGAAAACAGAAAAGCAAATGACATTCTTTACAATAAGTAAAATAATCCTTAATATGCCAAGTTCTTCTTTTTTAACTTTTGACTAAGAACCCAAAATCATATTTATTTCCTCCTATTGCCGAGGAGAAAGCTCCCCATCACTTGTTACTACTGATTAAGAATTCTTTAGTCACCCTTTATATGATATTGTTTCCTATACTACTTCTTTTTTTGTCGTCCAAGTGTATTGTTTCCTGTACTTTAACCACTGATTATTTGATTATATTGTTTGGAATTCTAAATTGTGTTTTTTCTGTCTCTCTACTTTGATATATATTATTATATATATATATATATATACAGTAGAAATTTTATAAATTAATAATATTGGGATTTTGATATTTTATTAATTTATAAAGTTATTAATTTATCAGTTTTGAATGAAATAAGTTGTATATTAATAATTAATAAAAATAATATTTTTTTTAAAATTTATAATTTCAAAATTTTCATTACAAAATTAGAGATAAATAATAAAAATATTTCAATTTTAATATGAAAAATAACAATATACTCATATTTTAATAAAATATCATAATTATATATTCATATAAAATTATTTTATATAATATTTATTAATTTTATAATATTAATGGGACTATATTTTACATAGATTTTTTAAAACATTATTATCTTATTAAGTTATCCATTTGCATTAAATTTTGAATAAACCCAATTCGAAACTGAATAAACTTATTGATTTATAGAGTTTATTAATTTATCAAATATTAATTTATGAAATTTTTACTATATATATATATATATATATGTTTCCAAGCATCACTGTGAAGTGTGCATGTTCTCCTCATGATTGGTTTGACCGTAACAATTACAAACACGTCAATTTCACAATGCAAACCTCCAAAAACAAGAAAAAATTGTATTTAACTCATGTTAGGAAAAGTTTCTCAAGACTTATCTTTTACTTTTAAATTTTATTTTTAAAGTAAAGTTATCTGAGTTGCTAAAAAAAAAGAGTAAAGTTATCTACAATGTTACCCTTTCCTTTAATTATTACTGGATTTTAGATCCGTGTATTTACGTAGGTTTTATTTTATAAAATATTTTTGTATCATAACAAAAATTGATTATATTAAATTTTTGTTCAAAACAAATTAAATTAAATTATTAAATTTAAAATTGTGGCTCAAACTAATTTTTTTTATGAGATTATATAACCATTTTTATATTTTTAGTTTTATGTTCTTAAAATTATTTAGGCTTGATTTTATATAAAAATATATATTTTGATTAGCGGATTTTCTGTTAAGTTTTGTAACAAATATTTTAAAATATTATGTTTTATAATGCAAGAGAGATTTCATTTGTTTGTAATTAAGATTTCAATATTAACTTAGACTTTGTTTGTTTTTGCATCTCTATACTTATTTAGATGCGTATATTCAAATATTACACAAAAGCAAACAAGTTGACACAAAGTAGCTGAAACTACTTTTACTTTCTAAATTATACAAATGCAGTTTCTACGATTTTTATTGAATTGTTTTAAGAATTGATGTTGATGCCAAAAAAACACATATATCTCTTTATTGATCTAAATATTTTATATGATTCTTTAATGACGCTATATATTTTTAAATGATACAAAAAGAAAATGCATACCTAGTTATTGCAAAAAAAAATATAAAATTATCAATATTTTTTTTATAAAATATATATATATATATATACATAGTTTTCTATAGATAGAAACATTCTTATGTTTATTATAGTTATAGAATCTAATAAATAAAAAAATATATATATCTGATCTATGATTAAAAAAAAGTTCAAATTGTTGTGCCAAAAAAACAAAAACAAACATATTTTGATCATGAGAGGACTTCTATTTTGTTTGAAAGTGTATGAAATAAGTGAACAAAGTGAGGTTATTAAACAAATAGAAGGTAGAATACAAAATTAACTAACTTATATGCATCGGCACTCAGCTAGCGGTCAACAACTTTCCGTTTTTTGTTTTCTCTACATATCAAAATTTTTACAGAAGTATTTATCTGCATGCAGATTATTCATTATTTTATTGTTTTTTCTTACTTGCAATAAAAAAGGTTAAATGGCAATAATAATCTGCATTTGTATTACATTTGAACTATCCTAACACAGGCTTTCATCTGCACACATATTATTTAAGATTTTACTGTTTTATATAAATTGTAATAAAACTGATAATTGACATCAACATTATTAGTATTCTGTATTTGTTCAGTGTTGCCATTCATATTAAATGTAGAGACAAATCAAATACATAATAAAAAAAGATCATTAAAAACTTTTGTTTTCATTTCCATGTTTTACTACACAACTAAATATAAATAATATATCTGAAAATTTTCTTATCTTTCTATGATAAAAACAGAACAAATTCACTATACACTTATTTATAATAGATCAATATTCTGTTTTCTGTATTTAGAACAAATCCAGCATATACTTACAAAGTAAATTTATTGATATGTATTTGCTACTAGGTGATCGGTCCGCACCGTGTGAGAGCTATAAAATATTTTATATGTTCAATATATAATTAATATTCTATATTAAAGATGTTCTGTTTATACATTATTAATTATGTATTAATAATAACATTATATAAATATTTAAAATAAAAAATAATGATAAATCAAATAAAAATGTTATATATTTCAATAGATATTGAATTTTAAAAAATATTAATCAAGATTTTAAAATACTTCATTAAATAAAAAGTGTAAATATGATGACTACATAAACTAAAAAATATTAAAATATATAATAATTTATTTAATTTTTATTGTTGGTCCGCATGCATGTACACATATGATTTTTTGGGATAACTTTTGAAATAACACACTTGAAAATAAGATTTATTTAGTTTTAACTCAATCAATCAAAATATTTTGTTTATTTTAGGAATTTAGGCATGTCACATTTATAGGTCATCAGTAATTTGCACTAATTTTTCTTCTCCCTACGACACATCAGCATTTTTTATTAAACCTGCTTATTAAATAATATATATGATGTTTGATCTGCATAATCTATTTGATTTACATTCTATTTTCTGTATTACAAATATTGACATAAATAAAAATAGCAGATCAAATAAATTATGCAGATTGAATATATTATGTATAACAATTACAGATCACACAAATATTTCTTTTTTATTGAATAGTGTAATGGTGCAAAATGATACAAATCAAATATTTCAATGGTAAGAAATAAAAACATATATATATATATATATATACACGCAATAAATTTAAATAAATACAATTATTATAATAATAAAATATAATTTATATATTTTCTCAAAAACAAAATTCAACTACAACATAAAGAGAAACTTTAAAAATAAAAATTAGTATAGAATATTTTTGATTGTCTATATGTATTTACAATATTTTCATTAATTTTTAGATATTTTTATTTTTATTTTTATTTTTATATATTTCCACGAACATCCCACAAATATGTATAACTAAAATATATATGCATAAAATAACATAAATGAATACATTATATTAACTAATTTATATATTTGTATTATAAAAGAAATATACCAATCAGTAAATTTTAGTTTTAAATTATTTATGTTCAAAACTTAGTTTATAATAACAGTTAGATATATTTATAGAAAATCACTATGCATAATTACTGATGGTAAACAAATTATATAAATATTATGAACATAAAAAAATTATAATTGTTGAAATCTATTTTCCGAACGCAAGTTCGAAGTATTCACTTTAACAGAGCGACATATTCAACATGGCCTCTACTAAACCTTTTCTGATTAGCTTTAGACGAAGTTTGACGGATACTCTAGGTCATGGCAAAAAATTTTAAAATAAAAATTAATAAAAATTATTTTTGATTGTGTATATATATATTTAGAATATTTTCACTAACGTTTAGATATTTTTCTTTAAATTTTAATTTTTATATATTGCATCGATCATCCCATAAATTTGTATAACTAAAACAAA